TCGCCCAGGGGTTCATCTTCTTTACGGCAGCCTTCGATCAAATGGCAAACCTGTTGTCATTCATAACGTATGAGTTGGCGCTCAAACCCGAAGCGCAGGACCGGCTCTACGAAGAGATCGCCGGCGCCGTCGACACCGACGGAGAGCTCGGTTACGACGAGTTGTCGCGATTGCCATACATGGATGCGGTCATCAGTGAGACACTGCGACTACACGCGGCGCCCGTCAAACTCAGGCGAATCCCGGGCCGAGATTTCCCGTTGGGCGACACCGGGATTGTGGTGCCGCGCGGACAACCCCTAGAGATACCCATCTATGCTATCCATCATTCCGACGAGTTCTACCCCAACGCCAATCAGTTCATTCCCGACAGGTTTTTGCCCGAAAATAGTTACAATATAAAGCCGTATACATTCATGCCGTTCAGCGCCGGTCCCCGCGTTTGTGTGGGAAAGTCCTTTGCCTTAATGGAAGCTAAGCTGGCGTTAGTTCATGTGTTGCGTCGCTTCCGGTTCGCCGTCCATAAGGACACAAAAGTGCCGCCAATTGTCAAAACACATCCAATGATGAAATCATTGGAATCGCTGTATATCTCAGTGGAGACCAGAGATTAGTTTATAACATATAAAATGATTAGTTTAGAAACTTTTAATTAATTTTAATTTTATCTGATAACGATATTATTTATTGAGACACTTATTATGGTATATTAGTTAGAATATCTTTATTATAATAGTTAGAAATTTTGTTTTAATCTATTTTAAATATACATATTTTAATCATGATTTATTTGTAATTGTTTTGAATTTTATAATATTGATAGATTTTGAAAATAATTTTTCCAGAGAAATTTACAACTGATTTTACTTATGTGTTTAATAATTTATGTAATTTTATTTTCCTATCTACATGGACCATTAAATTAACATGTTGTATTACATGTACACCATTTTTATGTTTAATTGCGATTTATAAATAAATACAATTTTTTGAATTTATAATTGAAATGTTTATCATTTAAACATAATACAGTACTTTGTTTTGACATTTGTATTCATTCAGGTAACTGATTTAATTAAATACTAAATTACATTAATTTTTACTATGTTTTATTTAAGTTATATATTGTAAGTATTATATGATTTATCGGAAATAAAATTTATTTTAAAATAATTTTTTTGATTACAACTTTATAATTACAATATCTCATGGACATAACATCAAATCACATTTAGCCATGTTTATCAATTTTTTATTTACACATAATTTGCACTAAAATATATTTAAAACTATAGATCAATGATACCACTTATAGTGATATCAAATCCATGTGACACTTTCCACAATATTCAGTGCTTCACCAAAGCAGTACTTATGCTAATACAATAAACGTAACCATAGTCAACTACTAACTTATGACATTAATCATCTGGCATAACACCATTTTGATAATATAATTATCACATTTGATAACAAGTTCATTTTAAATTTATTGCAAATGCTAATTATGTTAACTATGTTGAGGTCCAACGAGGTGCATTTCGATATAAATAGAGAATACCTCATTCATTCAGAATAATCATTTAGCCTTTTAAACCAAATACAAGTATGTCTAACGCAAGTCAACGTAAGCTAACAGTGCTGTTCGCGCCGACCGACGGCTGGGGACACATCAACGCCTGTCAGGGAATGGCCGACGGTCTCCGAGAGCGCGACCATCGAGCCATCTTCGCGGTGGCCGCCAAGTTTGCACCAAAACTACACGCATCGGGCTATGAAGTAGAACTTTTGACTGTGACCGCCGAGGGACAGTTGCCCACTCCGGGTGCTGATGCAAATCAGGGTGAAAATAATTTTGTGGCTAGAAACCTGGATGTGTTTAAGACGAGTGCCATAAATGTGGTGGAAATGTACGTAAAATTGTTTGCCGATCGACTGTGCAGTAAGTTGCGGGACAGGGATCCATTGTTTCGGGAGATTATCGGTAGATTGAGACCCGATGTGATAGTTGTGGACACTTATATCAGTTCTCCGTATATCGTCTATTCGGGCGTTCCCTGGGTTTGGCTCTATTCAGCCTCACCTTTAATGATGTTCAACGACCCACGGCTACCACCGGCCTGGTTAGGTAGGCTTACCATATGCCCTCTCTCTCTCTCTCTCTCTCTCTCTCTCTCTCTCTAAACTTTTGCTTATTTACTCACTGTATATTTATTTACAAATGAACAATTACTTATTAATGAAATGAATGGTTAGGTTTGCCAACTGTTGGCAAAGCTAGCGAATGGACAGAACATCGATCACAATTAGAGGTTGCTTTCAAGATGTGTTATCAAAAAGTGAACGAATGGTATGAATCCGAAGGCTTTCCTCCCCTAAAGAGCACATCTTATTGTAATTTGCATCCAATCTCTCCGTATCTCAACATTTATATGACTCCCGAAGAGTTGGACTACAAAGAGGTGCAGCCATTGGCCCACAACTGGCATAGAGTGGACGGCTTTGTCCGCACAACTCATGACACGTTTGAGATACCGGAGTCTCTGCGGGACAGACCAGGAAAGTTGGTCCTCCTAACTATGGGTTCGTTCGGTGGCCAACATCTGGAGCTCATGACTCGGTTGACCACCATTTTGGCCAAATCTGAGCACCGGTTTATAGTAGCAAAGGGTCCCATCCATGACAAGTATGAATTACCGAGCAATATGTGGGGTAAAAAAACTTTACCCCAAACAGCAGTCATACCATTAGTTGATTTAGTGCTAACACACGGCGGCAACAATACTGTGACCGAGACTTTCTATTTTGGTAAACCAATGCTTGTATTACCCCTTTGGGCGGATCAGTACGACAACGCACAGCGCCTGCAGGAGACGGGTCTCGGCTTAAGACTCAATCCTTTCCATTGCACTGAAGAGGAATTGTTGACATCAATCGACAAATTGGTTAACGATTCAGATTTGGCTCAAAGAATGAAATCAATTGGCGATAGGATTAGGGAAAGCAATGAGCGCCGGCGATCTCTTCGTAGAGCCGGTCCTGCGCTTCGGGTTTGAGCGCCAACTCATACGTTATGAATGACAACAGGTTTGCCATTTGATCGAAGGCTGCCGTAAAGAAGATGAACCCCTGGGCGACGATCTCCTCCTCTGTCAGCGATTTTTTGCTCACATTACTGTCGTTAGTCTTGGATCTCATCACTAGATTCTCTTCATCTGTCAATACAAAGCATTGAATTTAAAGTGAATTTACATTTGCAATAATTTTTATGTGTTTGTCATAACTTTCTACAGGTATAGTGCAGTACTTGTATGAGTGTTTGCATGACTATTAAAACTAAATATGTAATAAAAATTGAAAACTTATTGAGTAACATTTCAAATGATTAGTATTTTGAAATTAGTACTGGATTTAAAAAACATAAAAATACAGTATAACTTATCACAAAAATGACATTTCATTGACATTGCACAATATTGACAGTAAATAATAAATGCAAAACCACGGCCACACTTACCGTCGGGGTTATTATCATCGGGCAGTTCTTCGTTGGGATCTAGTTTTGAGTTCATAACAACATTAATAAAATCATCGCTTTTATCGCCGGCCGTCTCTTTCGCGCGCATAATCGTAAGTATAGTTTGCGTTATATTTGCGATACATTTCTCGTCAAACAGCGAACGTATGCGAAACGCGCGCAAAACAACGCCCGGCAACACCTGTAGGGCCAACAGTTTCCACAGCGGGAGCTTAAATACGGGCCACGCGTTGGCCACAAACGGGTGCCCCGAGTCCCGGTAGGGGTCAGTGCGGGCGCCGAACGCGCACCACGTCATCGTCGAGAGTGTGAAACAGCCGTACATACGCTTGACGTCGACGGGCGCGCAGTTGTCGGCGTAACTCTGCATTCGCTGCACGAGGTGTTCGCCCACGCAGTGGCGTATCTGCGCGTACTGTCTGCGCATGCGTCCGATGGCGAAGGCGGGACTTACGGCTGCGCGCGTGCGCCGCCACGTGTCGCCGCGCACTGACACAAGCATACGCTCGATGACGGGGTGACCGATGTTTGTGATCCGCACTTTGGTGTTGAATAAACGGAAGTCTTTCACCAGAATCTGTTTGATGAGTTCCGGTTCCGCCACTTGTATCAGCGGTTTACTGCCTTCAAATATTCTGTGTAATAATAATGCTTACATTAATTGTGATATTATTATAATTAGTTATCTAGTTATTATGTAAGGAGCTTTATGACATAAAGTTTATGTGCAATACTTCAAATTATATTATTAATAATGATTGATTACTTAATTTAACTCTAAAGCAATATTTCAGTATGGTAACAAATATATTAGGAATTTGTGTAGAAACTAATCATAATATTATACAATCATATATTATGTATGTATATAAATATATAATTACCCATAAATTTTGCCAAATTGTTTCATTCGCTGCACTTCGAGGTCAGGCTTTGACACGAATAGCAGATCCAATAGATTGCCGAATATTATCACAGGTTTGGGTCCTTTTAGGCCCAACTTTTCAAAGTAACCAAAATTCTTGGTTAAATGCCTGCCGGGAAAAGTATAGAACATAATCCAACATGCTCACATATTTATAATTAATATAAATTAAAATTTTAAAGCTTTTTTAAAGGTTAAAATAAGTTTAATGAATTGGGCATGTAAAGATTAACTAGTTCAATTGAATACAATATCTTACTTATACAATAAACACATAGAGGCCACAAATGCCAGACCATAGACTGGCCACGAATTCAAGTGCAAAACTAAGTCCATTATTTGCCAAAATACTATTAATAATAGATTTAAAATTTAGTTAATTATAAATATTATTTAGGGTTTTCAATATTTTTTTACATTTATTAATATTTAAAAATATCAATCATGATCTAATGAGAAATGAATACTCAAGGGAGTAGTAGTTACTATTTGTACATGATGTTTGCAAGCCAAATAATTACATATTCCTTATAAATGTAAAATCATTATTAAAATTTTGATTTTATATTTGTTCGTTCGATAAGTAACCGAAAATTATATTATCGTGTTTTTTATAATGGCTGCCAAAATTGTTTGGTAATTGCCAACAAATCCGTTTAAACTTCATTTGATACGTTTATTATTAAGCTTTAATTCCATGTCTAAAAATTATTAAATTTATTTTAAGAAGTGGTCACTTAACCAAAAAGTGTCCACAGCAAGACAATTAGAATATTAAACCTATTTTATATTTTATTCAATAGAACTATATACAAGGTTTACAAAAACAATATATCAATCTTATTCGGTGTAATGCCTATCACCAAATGATATAAATTGTTCAAAAGGTTCCTATCAATAATTTTGACCTCACAGACCGTACCCGAACGGCCCGATTCCGAGAAGTAAACAATGTAGCGGCAAAACATCGGGCTAGACCCGATCCAAAATTTTTGTATATGGAAATGTTGTTACACATGGGCTACTGTATGGTGATAAGTTATAACCATTTACCAGTAACAGGGAAGGTGTTCCGAGCCGTTTATTGAACATATACCCAAAATATAGCAATTTTTGGCCTATTTTTAGACAACATTTTTCGATTATCATCAGAAAAAAGTTAATAGACTTTGGGTAAGAAGTTCTCTCATTTCCACCCTATACTCCAGTTATTCCTTTACAAAATTACTGGGTAAGTCATTCTCTGCAATCATGGTTTAGTAGTAAAAATTGCAAAACAAAAGTTGTGGTCGAAATAGATATCGCTTTCTTTTTTACCTTACAGAACATCCATTTCTTATGGAAAGTAAATAAAAATTTGCTGAATTAATGGCCGATAGTTGCCGATAATTATGGCTATTTTATAATTTGAATTAATTGCTTACTTGTCAATAAAAATAAATTATACATTTTTTTGGATAAATTTCGGTTTCTTTCCGAACGGGGAAATATGTTGCAATGATAATTAAAATGATAAAGGTCATCATTAGTGTTGCCAACTCTGATCGACTACCGCCTTGAAAAATACAAAAATTTTCTAAATTCACCTTGACCAAACCTTGACCACCATTATTATTGCATATTTG